TTCTCTTTTTTATATATTGAAATTTCTATAAAAACAAATTAAAATCACTTTTAAAATTAAATTTATAATTAACACTTTTATAATAAATTTTAATTATTTTTTAAAATTAAGTGAATTATTATTTATTAGAATCATATATTTTCACTTATTTTGATTTCATTCACTTGTAAACAAAGATCACAACATTGACTTCTGCTAACACTGAAACTTACAATTAAGATTGTAACCTTGCATTATTGCTCACTATGATATATCGATTATGATATATCGATTATGTTTCTTTTGATCACCGCGGTGAGTGCTGCAGTCATATCGATTGCTGTATCGATTATTTTACACTTCATCACCACGTTTCCGGGGTGGCGCTGCGGTCATATCGATTGCTGTATCGATTATATTACACTTCATCACCACGTTTCCGGGGTGGCGCTGCGGTCATATTGATCACTGTATCGATTGTCACCTTAACATGTCGATTATATTTCCCTTTGTCACCACGGTGGCGCTACAGTCGCGGTGGTGTAGCAGCCTGTCTAGCAAGTTTTCCATAAAGGCCTGAGCAAAATAGAAACGTAACCGGAATCGTAATCGCAAACACAACCGGAAGAATGAGTTAGAGAAGGATAGATAGATTGTTTGTCCTTTTCTAACTTATTCTTCCGGTTGCGTTTACGATTACGATACCGGTTACGTTTCTATTCTGCTCAGGCCTTAAGGATCAACCATAAGACTAAAAGATGTATACAGATACCTCTAAAAATTTTAAGTGGTCCTGGATCAGGTTTCAAATTTTTCAAAACAATAAACAAATGTATCACAGACGAAGTGATAAGATGTATTATAATAGTATACAAGTGAATTTCTTACTGAGTAGAATTTTAAAAGATCTCGTAGTAAAATATATAAAAATAATATAATTTAAAACTCAATTATAACTTATATTAAATAAAAAAATTTATTAATAATAATTTTAATTAAGAAAAGCAACAAAATGCAAGTAGAAGTAATAAGAAATAAAAAATTAAAAGATCCTAGGATAAATAGTAATTTAAGAAGGGTAATGTATTTACCATTACCACAATTCACGCATGATGCGAATTTGTTAAAAATTGATACCATGAGACGTGAATTTCAAAGAAGAGCTCGAGAAGTAAGTATTGTGTTAAATAATTGTTAATAAATAATAATAACAATAATAATAATAATAATGATAATAATAATAAAATGTAAATAAATTTATACAATAATAATAATAATAATATTTTAAAAATTATACAATAATTATTAATAAATATTAGTAAATAATTGTTAATTAATTAATTCTATTAAATATTTTAGATTCCACAAGAAATGCGGCAATCTCAGATTGGACCATACATTTCAAAAGTCCCGGTTGTGCCTGACTTCAGGATCATGCCTGAATTTATAAATTCATATCATTAGGCGCGAGTTTACACAAAAATACAAGTAAAAAAAATTTTTAATTATATTATTACATTTTTTAATTAATAATGTTATTATTAATATTTATTTTCTTAAATTAAACTTTAATCATTTATATTTATATTAACCTATAAGAAAAAAACATATTATTTAGTTTCCATGTATTCTAAAGGTACAACGAGAGTAAGAAAGCATTTAAGGGTCCGCGCACAGTTGCAGTCAACCAAGCTGTGAGTGTTCCTTAAGGTACGCGCACAGTTGTAAAGTTGGGTTTACAATTGACACGTTCGAACGCAGGCCTATGACGTCACGCGACACGTTCTCATAAAGGTGCTTCTCCATGGGCCCGTTCATACGTGGTACGTTTTACGTGGGACGTATGACGTCACACGACATGTTTTCATAAAGGTGCTTCTCCGTGGGCCTGTTCATACGTGTACGTTCTATGTGACGTCATACATCAGCACGTATCAATTTTACGTGACTTTACAATTGTACATCCATCTTAACGGCATGCATCAGCCGAGCTTTGAGTATTCCTTAGGGTACACGCACAGTTAAAATGACATGTAAATTAATAAAGTTAAACAAACTCGACCTGTGACTTACATGCTAATACGTTCTACGTGGGACGTATGACGTCACACGACATGTTTTCATAAAGGTGCTTCTCCCTGGGTTTGTTCATACGTGTACGTTCTGTGTGACGTCATACATCAGCACGTATCAATTTTACGTGACTTTACAATTGTACATCCATCTTAACGGCATGCATCAGCCGAGCTTTGAGTATTCCTTAGGGTACACGCACAGTTAAAATGACATGTAATAGTTGAGTTTTATGTATTACACAAACTCAGACTACACAACTAAACGAGACAGTAGCACAAAAAATATTAAAAACACAAACTGCAACACAATCAAAACCAAAGACAATTAGAAATAGACAAACTCTAATTCAATCAAAACCAAAGATTATTACACAAACTCTAGCACAACCAAACCAAAAACCTAAAATAATTAAAAATACTCAAATATCAAGGCTAGTAAAACAAACAGAAACACAAATAAAACAAATACCAACACAACAAAAATTAAGTAAAAAACAAATACCAAAAACTCAAAGCACTACAAGTATAAAAACATTAACAAAATTTAAACAGCCTGAAACACCAAAACCAACAACAAATCGGAAAAATTTAAAGAAACAAGTACCAACAAAAAAAACATTACAGAAAACAAAACTTAATTTACGATTTACACCACCACGCACACCACCAACACCTACTAAAGAGGAAGTACAAAATTTTGTTGTACCATTACACCTTTCACCACCAGCACCTCCAATAAGCCCACTACGACAAACACCACCACGACAAACACTACCACAAACAGAAACAGAAATAAATGCACAATTAGACAACCAAATTTTAAATATTTACAATAATCTACAAAAATTCAGGCATGATTCCCTCATAAAATTTAAATAATGTTAAAAATATCATTTTTTTATTCCTTTTTTTAATCATTTTTTTTATATACCATTTTTTTGTGATATTCATATATATATTTAAGTTGTTTCTTTTTGAGATTTTAGTTACGATCTTTATTTTTATTATTACTAGTATTATTATTATTATAATTAGTATTATTATAACTATTATGATTACAAGTATTATTATTATTATTATTGTTATATATAGTATTATTAAAATAAGATTGTAATTTTTCAATTTTATAGATATTTTTATACAATGAAAATATATATTTTTTTGATACCAAAATAAATGTATGACTTTTTATTATATTAAATAGGTAAACAATTAAAACTCATATTTAAATTTGTAATTTTTCATTTTTTATTATTAAAATAAAAAAATAGTTTTTTTTTATACATATAAATAACATTTATATTTAAGCATTTTCTTTAAATTCCATATTATTATACGGTCCTCCAAGGTAGACCATTTGGAGCGTATTGTTGGATGCTGCCTCCATCATTGATGTCCAGGTGTCAGGTGCAAGTTCAAAATGTTTGTAAAATCGGCTAGGCAGGAAGACGTTGAAAGTTTTGTTGATTTCCGCAACGACTCTATCACCATACTTTGACTGAACCTTTTTAAGCTTCGTGATAGTGAATTGTCCTCCCACAGTTAGCTCGGACAGCGGCTTCGTGGGCAAGAATTTCTCCATCCGTCCAACAGCATTGATATTTGAAAAGTTCATCTTGCTTCAAAGAGAGTTGTCCTTGGAGATGCTTGTCGTCCAGCTCAGAGCAGGTTGAATGACAAATTCACCTCTGGCTTCACCCTTTTTATACTCGAAAACCATCCCCTCCCTCGTGCTAATCTCAATCCCCACTCTAAATGCTCACATATATTAATATGTATAGTAGAACATTTGCAATGGCGCCACCGTCGTATATCTTAAGTCGGTATTACCTTTGGTTGGTATGTCGGTTGTAAAATGGCGCCACCGTCGTATACCTCCAGTCAGTATTACTCTTCGTTGTCCACAGTCAATAATATAAATTTCTACTTTACCATAAGTTTGGTAATGTAGATTTTTAAAATTTTAATTTACACTTTAAAATTTTCTTGGTGCTGGCTTTGGTTCCCTTGGTGCTGGCTCTGGCTTTGTTGTCCTAGGTGCCGGCACTGGCTTTGGTTGCCTTGGAGCTGGCACAGGTTTCTGCTTATTTGATGATTCCATTGTTCTTCCTTAAGCTTACTGATAAATAATGAGCAAATCAATTTACGCTCTCTAAATTTATAGACTTCTTACTTTTTCACACACATGCGCATTACCTTTCTTGTTTTTATTTTATATCTTAAACTAATAGGATAGGATAAAATCAATTAACAATTTATTATAACTTTAAAATGTTTATTTATAAAAAAGTTTAGATGTTTCATAAAATTCTTTAAGCGATTCCGTAGAATTTACAGTAAAATATTCATTATGATTATCAACTTCATCTACACCCTGATCAACATTTCTTACATCACACTCATTTGTAGATTTTATAAGCCAGTTTCTTAACATTGATGCATTGTTTACTGCACACCATTTATTACACAAAGTATGATAGGTACAAACATATAATGAAGCTTCTAATTTAAGTTTTTTAAGTGAAGGACAATTAAAATCTTCAACGTTTCGTACATTAATTACAAATTTTTCAAGCCACTTTTTTTTCTCGATGCCCTTTACATAAATTGTGCGAGCACCAGCTAACAAATCCTGCAGAAGTGATTGTAATTGATCATACGGCACATCACCAGAGGTCCATTTCAGTCCATGGTAATTGTGCATCAACCATAGATTTTCACTCTTGTATCTCCCAGGTAGGGAACTCCAACTGCAGGGTGGCTCGAACAGGAACACCATTGGTTGAGCATCTTCCTCAATTGGTAGAATGGCCAGCTCCTTGAAGATGAAGTCATTGTAGGGCCTTTTGAAGCCTTGGATGTCCACGATGAAGTCCATGGTTGCAGCAACTGAGAATTTCAGTTCATATTCCTCCTTTTTATACTTGAGATTCACCCCCCCACTACTTATGTTACTTTTTTAACAACACCACTGATTGGTTTATATTGTATAACTCGATCATGAATAATCAAGCAATATGCAGCTGTATTAGGTGGGAAATTAGCACTCGATTCAAATTCCAAACGTACATCAACAGAAGCTTGTTTAAGAAATTCGTTTTGTTTTGAGCAATCTATGACAGCCAATGGTGCATAATCTTTAAATAAACTTTTGGTAAGTAGAGGCTCAGAATCTTTTCCATAGTATGATGCTTGAAAGTTACAATACATGTCATACAGAATAGAAAATTGGTGATGATTAAAATCTAAATTTAAATTTCCATAGGGATAGTATTGTGAGTTTAGGAATAATTTTACATTTATGAGATTACAGTTGTCAAAAAAGTTGGCATATCTCGTGTGATTATCTTTTCGATTGGTTTGAAAACCTAGGATAACATATCGAGGTTTTTCAACTTGTGTAGAAGTTTTTACAGTCCAAACATGTTTCTGAGTCGCAGGTATAAGTGGATATTCATACATTTCCCACGATCTAAAGCTCATACTTATAAATGGATCCTTTTCAATAAATCTTAATAATTCAATTTTCTGACGGTCACCCACAAATAAGTATGGTATCATCCATTCAATTTTATTAATCGAAATTCTAAATTCTTCCCGCTCCAGACCCTGAATATTAACTATAGCATTAAGATCTGTCCGAGATCTTGTCAAAATAAGTTCATGTTTTGCATTTACAACTATTTTTCGATAGTCTTCAGCAAATCCAAGAATCATACTCAATGGTATATTAACATCAAAATATCCATCATCATTTGTCACTCTACTGATATCTTGAAAGTCAATATAACCTGCATTCTCAGCATAAATTATCTGACTAGGTGTTTGAGAAATATAAGTTTTCATAGTGGTTGTAAGACCAACATTCTTACAACGATCAATTTCAACACCATTCAGTTCATAACGAATCTCATTAAACAAATAGGAAATACCATTGCTGATTAATTTTGTATTAGTCACAACAGTATTATTAGGTTTAATTAATCTTCCATGTACATGTAAGGTACTTTTACAAGGAAGAACATATAAATCTTGATGTTGAACTGCAATGCGAATCTCATCACTATTATTAAATGCTGATGAAACATAAGGTTGATGAGAATGGATCTCATAATGTGCCAATGAATCATCATATTTCACTGGACTTAAAATATTCAAAGTCCCTTCCATTTTTATTACAACAACAGCAAATAAAAAATGCACTAATTATTGGTTTTGCTATTTTCTTTTTTCTTGACGAACTCGCAGACCGAGTTGTTTCAGAAAGAGTATGTTCTGAGATGTTAATCTCTTGTGAACTGATTGAAGACTGAATGTTTTCTGGCATTTTGACTCGTTTATATAACTTCCACCAGATTTTCTATCAAACACAATACCCATTATGCTGATTTAACGTGCAGTCGAATTGTTATAGTTTCCCCTCGAAAATTTACTAAATCTCCATCTTGATCAACAATTCGAAGTTGAATATTATGTATTGTCTTCACGGCGACTGGAAGGTAAATGACGTTTGATGGTACTTCAACAATCTTATATCCAGCCGGCACTACTGGAAAAAACTCGTGAATAGTATGGACTTTTTTATTATTAATATAAGCACCTGTAGTAATACTGCATTCAACTCTGATGGAATTCACCTTAAGTATAGCTACTGGTAAATCAGATGTATGTTTTTTATTAGGTGATAAGTGTCTCGGTGCAAAACCCAGTAATTGTGCAATTGAATCTTTTGGTTTAAAATTTATTTTCAGGCTGCTTTTAATTTCACTGCGTAACGTGTTATTATTTGTTTTTATACTTATAACTTCAGGTCCATCAGTAATGGAATTTTGAATATATTTTTCAATGTCTTCAATTTCATAACTTCCAGGAGGGATAGTAATTATTTTATTTCCAACATGAAATTTATTTTTTCCTTCATCAACATTAGGAATGGAATTAAATGTTAAAAGTTCAACAAGCCCAAGAATGTAATTTTTATTTGGTAACAATTCTATGGGAGGAAAATATTCAGCCTCTAATACAGAGGAATTACCAGAAATGGTCAGTGAGAACGATTCATCCATGATGATGTCTTTTTAAAAACTGATTGTTCACATTACTTTTCCTTTATTTATATACTTTTTAACTTATTAAAGTTTTTTGAGATAAAAATTTAAGACACAAATGACCACAATTAACAGTATTATAGTCTTGATAATTTTTATGATTATACATTATTAAAGTATTATCACCCAAATAAGTTACGAGTTCGTATGGTGGTTGAAGATTGCCAAAACTGTCAAAGTACTGTGCCTTATTTTTAATCTTTTTATATGCAACCCAATGCGTTCCAGGGCCATTTTTATCATCAAGGTTAATAATTGCTGATTCATTCTTTCGAGGTCCTCTTTTTGGTAAATCATTCCTCATAAATACCCCCCGAAAATGAGGAATTTTTAACTCCTTTGCGTATTTCATCAAATTATAGTTAGTTAATGCTTGTTGAGGAAGCATTAGAACTTTTTTTTTTTTTTAAACATTTTCTCTTTTTTTTATTCCTTGTCCTTTTGTATAGGGTTTCAAGTGAAGTCCCCCACCTTTGGGAAAAGGTTTTAAATGAAGACCTAATCCTTGTCGATAAGGTTTTAAATAAAGTCCTTTACCTAGTTTAACATCTTCAATGACTTTATTATGACGTTGAGCTTCTTTTAACTGTTCTTTCGCATTACTCGCATCATTTATAGCTTTCGTTACTCCAGCAGCACCTCCAGCAAGAGCTCCAAGAGCACTTAATCCAGCGAAAATAGGAATAAGTGGTAAAACACCACCTACTTTTGAAGGTATTGGTAAAATTTGAGGTGTTAAAATCTTTTTTTTACCTCCTACTTTCTTGATAGCTTTTCGAGCAGTTGCAATAGCATCTTTGATTGTCGATTGAGCACTATTACCTGGAATTATGGAATTTCTTGCAACATCAACAATTTTCCGTAGTGCCGTACGTTTCACCTTCGTCTTCCTCCTCCTCCTCATCTTTTTCTTTTGCTTCTTTAGCCCCATACCTAATTTTGACTTGACTTTCATAGTACCAGATACAGCCAAAGCAGCTGTTTTTTCACCTATACTAGCGTCACGTGCAAAAACACGTTGTAATGCCTTTTTAGCTAGTATCCTATCAGCAACGTTTCTTGCTTCAATGTTATCTGGATTTTTTGAATATGAAATATCGTGCTCCTTACAAGCAGAATCCAAAGGATTTACACCAGGATCACCTCGAGCAAGACGTTTTGCTAATTTTGTACCTGGTCCACAGTATTGATAACCAGGTAGATGTAATTCAAATGGTAATTTGTTGATAAGACTATTCACTAGACCTTCACCGCTAATTTTGCGATGTACAGTCATACTTGCGATGTACAATCATACTTGCGTCTGTAAAGGTTGGAATTGAAATGAATGGAAGGTTATAAAAGAGGTGTATTTATACCTTTTTGCCACAGTCTAAACTATGATGCGATTCAATGAACAACCTCATAAGCTACCAGTCGTAAATCTTGACTCGATTGTTCAACAACAGGAGAAGAAAGTGAAACGTCATGGTAGTTTATTGTCAGGCAGTATTCGTGCAATATTCTGTGGTCCATCAAATTGTGGGAAAACAAATGTACTTTTGTCTTTAATATTACATCCTAATGGTCTCAGATTTGATAATATTTATCTTTATTCAAAATCTTTGCAACAACCAAAGTATAAATTTTTGGAACAAGTTGTGAGTGAAGTTGATGGAGTTGAGTATTTACCATTCAGTGAACATGAAGAAGTAATTTCTCCTCAAAATGCAAAACCAAACTCTATATTTATATTTGATGATGTTGCATGTGAAAAACAAGATAATATTAGAGCATTTTTTTGTATGGGTAGACATGTAAGCGTTGATAGTTTCTATTTATGTCAAACTTATGCAAGAATTCCAAAACATTTAGTACAAGATAATGTGAACTTGTTAGTTCTTTTTCGTCAAGATGAAAAGAATTTAAAACATGTTTATGATGATCATGTGAATACGGATATGACATTTTCTCAATTTCGTGAATTATGTTCAGCTTATTGGAATTCTGACAAGTATGGATTTGTTGTAATTGATAAAGATAGTAATTTAAATGAGGGAAGGTATAGAAAAGGTTTTGACTGTTTTATTTCACTATAAATAAAGATAATTTTTGAATTTGTTTTAGTTTAAATTGAGACCTTGATATATCAAGATGTATAATAAAGAGAAAGAATATTTACATCAAATTGCTAAAGCTAGTGAGGCAATTAGACGTAAACATCGTTTATTTAAATTAGGAAAAGAAAATGCTGAAAATCTGTTGAACGAAACCTTCAAACCTATAGTTGAACCTTTACAAAAAATTATTACCATAAATGACATTAAGCGTGAAAATTTTAAAACGGAAAGGATAGAAAAGGAGGAAAAAGGTGATAATAAAGAGGAAGATGATAATTTGAGTTTTAAGAGTATTGAAGATAGTGAATCAACAATAATCCCAGACTTTGAGTATGATAAACTGCTAAATAAGTATATTTACTTGATAGATCACAACAGAAAACAGTGTTTGGATCCAGTATATGGAGTACGTAAAATGCGAGATGGATCACTTCTGATTGGTGATAAACCAATAATTTTTAATCAACAGTTTTTGAATGTTGGAAATAGACGTTTTACCATTACCCCTGGATTATTGGAACTTTTATTTAAAAATAAACCGGAGAATTCACACATTAGTGATCATGATATAAATAATTATAAGCAAATTCTCATCGACTCCAATGCACATAGAAAAAAATACAGTGCTTCTGAACCTATTAATATAAGTAAAAGTTTTAAATACACTAACCCAGATAACAAACGTGCCAGGCACATTAGTAACACGGTGGGCACCCGACGGTGTGCTTACTATTACGCATCATTTTTACCGGCCTGTTTAGAAGCAGACCAATGAAGCTCGCTTATCACCGGACTAATGCTTTCACGTAACGCGACATCATTGCCATCATGTTGGTGGCAATAGTCCACCTATTATAATGCAGAAGTATAATTATTATAAGCAAATGAATTACTTTACTAAAATATAATAATATACTCATATAATATATTATAATTATAAATTATATTATATTATATTATATTATATCATATTATATTATATTATACTTTTAATATGAATATCCTGGTATAAATACGAACGATTTCGTGTTTGGTGAAAAGAAGAATAGCTTAGTTTTTCATTGACTTTTTAAAACCATATTAACACAAAAATTAATTTATATAACAATTTTTTTAATTGTCTAAATCTAAATGTATTTTAATTGACTTTTATGAGTAATATTCAAAGATATTTAATGTTAATATAAAAGTTCGTCATAAAAATATAATAAAGCAAAAACAAAGTTTTATTTCATTTTTATCAGGCCCACTTTCTAAAACTTTTTGTAAACTATTTTTAATTACTGATAAATAAAGAAGCAAAAATAAAATTTATAACGCTCAATTAAAAAATTCAGCTTTTTTAAAAAGATAGTGTTTTAAAATAAAAATTTGCATATGGGGGATTCCACGTCAGATTTGGGTTCAAAATTTAAATTCGGGTAAACATATTTGTTTTCATTTCTTAAGGAAAGAAAGTATACATATTTTTTTCGGTAGCCAAATTTTCGAGTTACGAATTTTTTAAATTTTGAGTTCTTGAAAGTAGACCTATCTTCAATGTTATGTAACTCGAAAATTATTGACATTACAAAAATTTCGCCTGAAGAAAAAAAGTTTGTTTTTTCTTCGAGTTTTAAATAAATTTATCAAAAAAAACTAATTTTTTAATTTTTATTAAAAAAAATCATAGTTTTTAAATAAACAAATTATTTTTTCTCTAATTTAAGCACTTTTTATTTTAATTTTTGTTGCTTTATTTCTTAGCTGGGAATCGAATGATAAGAATAGTTTGCATATAGTTGGAGAATGGGCCAGGTCAAAATTCTTGTTTAAATAATTTGTTAACAAAAATTTTTTTTTGGTCTTATTTATTTTTTTTTTTTTAATCCAAATGTATTTTATTTTTATTTTATGAGAAAAATAAAGAGCTTGTGTAGTTAAAAAAACTTTTTGTTTACAAAAATAGAAAAAAAGGTAAAAA